CTGGGCTTCCACCATCTGCTGTGCGGCAGGCGGCCTGCGCAAGAATCATATTAACCCCTGGATTATGACACACACACATCCTCCTCGCACGCCATGATTCAAACACAGAGGTTACAACTGACTTCACATGTCAGGCCGCATGGAACGGAAGCACCTGCCGCTATGACCTCCAACGATCTAATTCTAATGCTGTCAACCGAAGAGATTGAAGTTTAAGAAGAACATTATCTCAAGACATGGTGAAATCCATCATTATAGGAAATCAAAACAGAAACACTCGGTAAATAAACAGAGAATGACGCATTTATGCACCCCTATGGCAACTCGGTCATACTTCAGACTACAACGTGGCCTTCAATCTTGCATAAGCTTCAGAGTGAAAGTGAATATAACGTAATTATGTTACATAACGTACAAGAATGCATCTCCGTAATGGGTTTGACGCAATATATATGCAGAGGAGAAAGCCTAGCTTGTACTACTTCCGTCTCAACTGGCAAAAATAGCTGTTTTATGTATTTCTTATAAGATTTATTGAATTCCAATGACTGCATTATGCTGTAATAATAAAGAAAATTCTCTAAAAGCCTGCATAGCTTGATTAAAAATCCTCACTCACGGCAACATTTTCACAGCTAGTTTCATTAGAAAATGGTACTGGTTTGACAGATGTGTAGTTGCTATGGAATTATAACAGTAGTTTGAGGAAAATATCTTCCAAGTACTATTACAGTCACATTTGATGGTAGCAGTGATGGTAGCAGTTCTTTTAATATAGCCCATCTATATAAATATGGGCCGTTAAAATTCAATACATACACATACATACATACAGCAGGGTTTTTCCTGGCTCAAAACGAGGCGGAAAAATCCTGATATTGTATTTTAATAAAAAGATAATTAAATATGTATTTGTCGTAGACCATAATACTGTATTTCCCACGGTATATTTGTGGGTGGAGCTCAGCACCTCTCTAGGGGGATCCAGGGGCAAGTGTATTCTGTATATGGGCCATTAAAGTATGACAAAGTGTAAAAAAGACCAGCAGGTAATTTACAATCTCCTAAAGTGTAGAACGAAGAGATTGAAGAGCCAGTAAGAAAGACAGTAAAGACTGACATAGATTGCTTCAACAGCTCAGTAAAGATGATAATTAGATATTAAAAGCTCAGGAGGCCAGCTACTGAACAAGCGTTTCTGTGAGAAGCATCAAATGTTTTTGCACAAATGACCTACGTGAGGTAATTGAATTGCAATCTTCTGGAGTTTATTGATACCCATCAGGAGGCTGTGAGAGACCCAGACTGGGCCCATCTGGAGACTGGGAGATGTGGATGCCAAGTTAAGCCGCAAGCGGAGAGACAGAGGCAATAGAGTCCAGACCGGTATCAAATTGATTGAAATGATCAACATCAGCGCTACATGAGGAAGGGACTGACAAACTACTAATAAACTAACAATGCATTCAACTGTGAAAGGCAAAAAAAACCACACACTGTGCAGTCAGGATTTTCGGATCTCATTACAGCTCTGCTCAAACCAACGGCATTAAACTTCAGCAAGACATTTTCTGTTATGCCAAAAAACACACACATGCAAAAAGGTTATATATCCAGTTGAATAATAGTGTAAACTGTGCAGTACCAAACAGTAAAGGAATAGTTTAAAAAAAAAGTAGGAAAATGTAAAAAAATCAATGACTAAAACTGAAATAAAAATGAATAATAACTATAGACAAAAATATATAGACAAACACAACAAAATTACTAAAATTAAAAAAATTAAATAAAATCTAATTCGGAATGTTGTTAAAAACTAGGGCTGTGAAACGATTAATCGTGATTAATCACATCCAAAATAAAAGTTTATATATATATATATATATATATATATATATATATATATATATACACACACACACAGTATATATAAGCAAATATTTCTTAAATATATGCGTGTGTGTATGTGTATTTATATATACAAAATAATTATACACAGTTCACACACATGTATTATGTAAACACAAACTTTTATTTTGGATGCGATTAATCCTGATTATTAATCGTTGAATGATTAATCGTTTCACAGTCCTATTAAAACCGATAATATAGTACCCCAGTGATACTAAAATAACATTGATTTGACTTTAAGGGGTCCAAACAACAAAAACTATTGAAAGAAAGAAAGAAAGAAAGAAAGAAAGAAAGAAAGAAAGAAAGAAAGAAAGAAAGAAAGAAAGAAAGAAAGAAAGAAAGAAAGAAAGAAAGAAAGAAAGAAAGAAAGAAAGAAAGAAAGAAAGAATTTCTTGGGGGAACGCAAACATTTTGTGCGGAAATGCGAAAGCATTAAGGCAGCCTAACAAATTTCCTATACAATCTCTTTTTATCCTGCTTTTTATTGAACATGAATGAACATCAGTCAAAAGCATCAGTGAACATCAGTGTTAACAATGCTATTTTTTTCTCTCCCCTTTATCCCTTTAATGCAACCCCCCTCCCAGGAAAAATAAATTAAATAATAATAATAATAGTAAATAAATAATTATGTTTGACTTAAATTGAAAGTCCATAATCAGGTTTAAATGTGCTAAATTTTCAGTACAAGGCAAAAAGAATAGTAATGTGATGCACATATAAATTACAAAATCCTTTGCACACTTTTTTGATGACACATCAACTCTTGTGCTTGGGATATCCTTTAAAAGCAATGGCCCAGGTGTCCATGTTTAATGATAGTCTGACAGGTACATCAATATTCAGCCAAAGCAATGTAATCTCATTTATGAGGCGCTGCCCGCGCTCCCTAAGGACGAATGAACTTCACTGTGCATGCGCAAGAACAGCAATCATAAACCAACAGATCGGCTGGAGGCCGTGGCTGAGTTAAATCACACGCATTAATGTTAAGGCTCAGGTTCAATGAAATACGCGTTTCGTTGCTCACTTTACAGTATCCCTGATCCAGTTTCTTTACAAACGGTTAGACAACAACAAGCACAGATCAAGGACGGCCAGAATCTTCTTTTTTACAAGTATATTACAAGGCAAAATAAAATTGCCAACCTTTTACAAAACAGAGGCTTTGGGTACATGAAGATATTACATTTCTCTTCAATCATCAATCTTCCAAACAAACATCAGTCATTACAAATAAATAATTCAACACAGATTCACTAAGGAATCGTTTCACCATTCATTTTAAAAAAAAAAAAACTCAAAAAAGCAATTGGCTCATGATTAAAAGCCATGAACTTTTCACTAAAGATATTTTATTTGATTTATCATAAAAATGCTATTTAAAGCAGACACTTAGATCTAGTCATTATAAATAAATAAAAATGATTAAAGACAGATTCGCTGATGAATCACAGCAATATTTAAACCACTACCAATTCAAAAAAAAAAAAAAAGAACTGGCTCACAAATCGAACATATAGCCTACAGTAGGACTCTCAAGCAAGTTTAACTCACACATCATCAATATCTAGCTGATGAGATATTTAGAGAAAAATGCATATTCACTATATGATTGCAATACCTTCTCCTGGGATGCAAATCTCAACCATCTGATATTTCCAGGTTGTCCTTGACTGTGAAAACTCTGGCTCTAATACCTGAAAATTACCTGAAAAGCTGGCTTGGGAAACATGCCATTCCCATATCCCAGTTAGGGCTAAGAGGATCATACAAAACAGCAGATGTTGATAATATTCATTCACAGATTAAACCACATATATAATGTAAGTGAACATATCGGGATGATCTCCCACCAACCCAACAAAAAAACAAATACGGTATCATACTATTCTGTATATGGATTCATTTCTCACTTCACCAGCACAAAATGTAGCTACTTAGTATGCTTCAGTTTACTCAATATCTCAACTTCGACCAACCTGAGGATGATCAGTGTTTTAGATGACAATTTATAAGCACTGAATGGCATGCTATGGCATTAAGCGTATACAAAAATCAGATGTAAGCAAGCTTTAAACCCAATGCATGTTCCCAAAGCCCTATGAATGCATAAAGGGGGTCAAAATGAGCCGTACTGGAATTAGCATTACAGTAAAACATAATATTCAGCCATAACTAATGTGTGCTTATGTCAAAAATACAAATGTGCATAGAAGGCTTGCAGACCATGATGATCCTTACAGACATCTCTCACAAGATGTTGCTCTGCTTCCTTTTGAGGGAATGAGACCAAAGCTGGACATTTGGACACACCCACACATTCATTATTAATATTAGTATTATTAATACTTCCAATCCCATTCCACAAAGTCAACCTATGGGAATTATCCAAAAATATTAACAAATCAAAATATCTTTTCAAGTCACTCTGAAAACTCTTTTTCCAATCTCAGGGATGCCACACACTTGTTGGATGCGTTTCCTACACGCTCCGGCAAATATATGTTTGCCTTTAAAACTAATTTTAAAAAAGCATTAAAATGTAAGGTTTCTTGGATGATGTGAAATGCTCAGATGTGTCAAAATTTTTGATTGGTACTGTACTTTACTAAAGGCCTATCAAGTGTTTGAATCTTTTCTTTTAAACCATTTCAAGTAGTTTTCATTTTTAAAACACTACTAGCCTGGTTTTATAACATAAAATATTAATCTGACAGTTACAAACACCATTTTTGAGTATTTTTTTTGTAATTAAACATGATTATTGACATTATAGACAAAATAGTTTTTATATAGGCTAGTTTCTGAACCTTTAAAAACATAACTTAAAAAATATGATGATTTTGGTGAGACTCCCATTCAACAGTTTTGAGGAATATAATGAAGAAATTAAATGTTTCATTAATAAAATATTCCATCTCATCCGGTCATTTTTGTCCCATTTACGCATTCTATGGTTAATTCGGACTGAAGGCCAGCCTGGTGTCATTTGGATGGGGGTCTCCGGCATTTCCAATGCGCATCGCTCAACCTCCAAGCAACACACATGGCATTACGCATTCCCAAAAGGCGCACAAAATTACCTTGGTCAGCTGTGCGATCTTCTTGCTCATCTTCAGGTGGAGATCCTGCGTGTATTCGAGGGTTAAACCGGACGGGAAGGACGTGCTGGTGGATGTTGAAGTGGAGGTGCTGTTATATTTCCCCGTCGAAGCGCTGCCAGCGGGGTTGTAGTAATGCTGCCAGCCCGCTCCAGTCGCCATCTTCACGATATTATATTACTATGGCTGTAATATAAAGACTGTAATGGCAAATGGTAAAGGCAGATGATCCTTCGGTCCAGATAGAGCAAAATAATAGAGTGACAGTGAAGGCGTTAATCCACAAGAGTCATTATTTCATCCGGATTAAAATCATCTGCTTCTATTGTAGTCTGTTGGATGAGAGAGTTTAACCACACATTGCGTTGGTTTCCTCGCTTCTTGTGAATTGACAGTAACGTTAGATGTATAGGAGGAATACATTAAATGTTTTGGATTCCTGGCAGGTGCGTCGCGTTTAAAAGGCCGACGGCGCGTCTGAAACGAGTCCAAACGCCGCTCGTCTGTAGGATGTAAGAGCCGGTGCAGGTGCGATCCAGGTTCGAGGCATTTCTGTCGGGTTCTGTGCGGGTGTCTGTGCGAGCGGTTGCTGCACTGAGTCTGTTACCATGGATCATCTCAACAGTTTACATTATGCCAGTGACGTCAGTTCCGTTGGTCACGGTTCTCTCTGATCTCCTCCTCCCGTCTCTCCTTCACTCTGCTCTTTTCACTTTTAGATGTGATGTAACGCAAAAATCGTTGTGGGGGAAAAAGTGATTTTGAAAACGTTCGGGTAGGTGGAAAGGAGCTAAAAATAAAACAATAGGCTATTCTATTTTTGTTTCAGAACGTATGTGAAAAAAAGGTTTGCTTTAAGGCACATCTTGGTTTGCTGAGGATCAATTAAAATGTATGAAAATATAAATAGGGTCCTACGTTTAATTATCTTTCATTTTTTTATTATTATTTTTATACCAAAACGGGCTAGTTAATATTTCAAAAGGTTTATTTTTAAGTTCTGACACACGGTGTGACAACATGATGCCCCGAATGCAGTTTGAATCTGTCAAACTGTAGGCTATGCAATAACGCAAACAAGAAATTATGAAAAATGACCAGTTCAACAACATCAACATCTCATTTGAAATAATGACCCTTTTCAGACTGTGATGAAACGTTTTTTTTCCCCCCCTTCTATTCTGTCATCTGATGGAGTTTGGCCTCTGCCTTGCTTATGGGGACACACTTAATATTCAACAATATTAGCTATTGATCTGACTGTTTTCTGAAATTAACAAATTTAATAATTGATGATATTTGCAATGGATCTGAATCAACACTGAACTGACTTCAGCTGAACAACAGCAAAATATATTTTTTTCATTTATCAATCTTTATTGTAAAAAGTACTATTTAAATAAATGTGACTTGACTTGAGTAGCCTACAGTATATGACTTAAAGTAGCAGCGAGGGTGTTTCTAATACTACGGCGAGGGCAAATTCAAAATTATATATTTTTCTTTTTTTTGTAAAGTCATCAAAACTCTATAATAGGTTTTTCTTTTGCTATTAGTGCAAATGGAAATACCAAAAATATATTTGTTGTCGTCTCCCGATCACCACTATAAAAGTTTAGTTTACCCCACTATGACGACTTATGTTTCTGAGACCCCCGGAAATGTGAAAATCTGCTCATGCATTCCTTTACAATCCAAATTACACTTATTAAAAAAATCTCTCTTAATATACTGTGCTGGATATTAAAAATGTCTGCATACATCCTCGAGGCATCTGAAATGCATGAGCCAATGATTAGCCTACGCTTTGAAATTTAAAATACATGTGGGCCTTTAGTATAACCGTGTATGTGCCCGTATGCTGGTGCGTATGCAGAAGCCGTGGCTAATAACTTGATTTTCTATAAGGATATTTGCAGCACAAAAAACAAATATTGCAAGCATTTTCCAACATGCAAACAGTGGCATGAGTGCCATTTTAAGATCCAATTTTGTACAAACAAAATTGCACATGGATGGCAACTTTGTAGAAATATGAAGGAAACACAATCTATTTTATCATCCTCTGCCACTTTCTCCTCTGGTTGTGGTTCCGATGGCTGAAAAATATGGTCCAATGAATGAATCACCATGGGAGAGCAGGTGCTGTCATGAAAGACCAGTGATAAATGGACTGCTATTGTTATTCTCCAAATATGGCACAGCCCATGGAGAGAGCTGCATTTCAGCACACATAATACCAATGCATTGTTTTGGTTGGGTTGCTGGTGTTGATTTGGCATCTATGGGAGTTAGCAAGTCATAGGAAGCCAAGATTATCATTTAGATTGGTAAATTAACCTTTACCTCACCACAAGTGTTGCATTTGATGGTAAACTATTTCTCTAAATTGATTTACAAAAAAATACATTATATATATATAGTATTAACAAAAAAAGCAAATGGAAATGCTGTTACAGTCCAACTTCCTCCAGGGCTTGATTAAATGTGACTGCACATCACTGGCAAAAACGTTGCCCAGCCTCACTTTAGTTTCTCTTTTGCATTGAGATAGGAACCACACTGAGCAAAGCATAATCTAAAAGAAAATGAGAAATGCAAACTGAAAATTAGAACAAGTTCACAAATACACTCTCAGAAAAAAAGGTACAAAAGCTGTCACTGGGGCTGTACCTTTTCTAAAGGTACACTTCTGTACCCAAAGGCTGCATATTGGTACCTTAGTGGTACATATTAGCACCTAAAATGTACATATTAGCAACTGAAATGTACATATTAACACCTAAAATGTACATATTAGTACCTAAAATGTACATTAGCTCCTGAAATGTACATATTACCACATAAAATGTACATATTACCACCTAAAATGTACATATTAGCTCATGAAATGGACATATTAGCACCTAAAATGTACATGTTAGCACCTAAAATGTACATACTAGTACCTAAAATGTATATATTACCACCTAAAATGTACATATTAGCTCATGAAATGGACATATTAGCACCTAAAATGTACATATTAGTAACTAAAATGTACATACTACCACCTAAAATGTATATATTACCACCTAAAATGTACAAATTAGCTCATGAAATTGACATTTTAGCACCTAAAATGTACATATTAACACTTAAAATGTACATATTAGTACCTAAAATGTACATATTACCACCTAAAATGTACATAGAAGGGCCTAAAATGTACATATTAACACCTAAAATGTACTTACCTAAAATGTACATATTAGCACCTAAAATGTACATATTAGCACCTGAAATAGACAAACGTTTATCTTTTGAAAAAGGTACAGCCCCAGTGACAGCTTTTGTACCTTTTTTTCTGAGAGTGTATATATATATATATATTTTTCAGTTCATGAAACAGAGCGTATTTGACTGCAGGGTGCTGGATACAAATATGAATAATCAATCATTAAAGGGTTCAGATAATTCACTATTACACAGGCAGGCCTACAGTTTTTTGGTTACAAAATTTCTAACTTGTTTTCTTTTGAATCCCGTTCACTATAAAACCAGCCAAATTCAGTCAGAGATTTCAAAAGAAAAAAGGCATGCTGGATTTATGCAAATGTTAACATCTAACAAAATGATATTTACCATGAACATAGTTCATATGTTCATAGTTCAGAGGACAAATTATTCTGGAACTACCAATTTACAATAACAAGTCACAACCCTCTAAATCATGGGTTTTCAAACTGTGGGCCGCAGAGTGGGAAAACGCTGTTTTCAGTGAATGACCCACAAACACACACACACACACACACACACACACAGTTTAGTCAAGGGCTGCACCTGCACAATATACGTCATTAAACAGAAATCGCGATATTGTTTATAGCCTTTATGTCATTTTTTAATCGTAAAGGCAGCAACTTAATTGCAGCCTATAAATATATGCGCTGCCTGTTTCAGTTATAAGCCCACGCATTTGACTTCTTATTACAGTGTTTTTAACAATGTATTACAGTATACACTTCAACTTCTGTAAATTAAAACACCAACACCATAGGAAAACACCATAGGAAAACTGAATAGTGCTATACGGTCGTATAATAACCCTGACCTTGGTATGTTGGCGCCTTTCTTAGTAGAAAATAGTGTGACTAAAAACTGATTAGTTCACAAACAATTACATATATAAAGTAAGTCTACTTTATAATACAAATGAGTTTTAAAAGCACAGTCCTTGGTACAGAGGACACTGCATTCAGCTGAGTTGAGTTGCTAGGCAATGACTTGCTAAAGCTCTTAGCCTGTCCATGAAAGACTGAAATGTAAGCAGAAAGAGAGTGAAAAGAAAGAAAGTGAGAAACCAATAACAATTTTCCTGGAGCGTTTTTCATAGGTTTCTGGAAAAGTACTCTGTCCTTTTGAACACTGTAAAAAGAATACTGTGAAATGTAAAGTAACTTGCTTGCAGCAATTAGCAAGTTAGTTGCTAGTACATTTCACAGTGTGCTTACTGTCAAATTAAAGAGCATTGGAATAGTAAAAAATCGTATAGTCTACTAGAATTGCCATCAGAATTTCATACTCTAAAATGCTGGCTGGGTTGTTTCAACCCAAATTTGGGTCAAATATGGACAAACCCAAATGTTGGGTTAAAATGTAATCAAAAAAACGTGAAAAGTTGAAGTTTTTGAATGTAATTTTTAACCCAACATTTGGGTTTGTCCATATTTGGCCCAAATTTGGGTTAAAACAACCCAGCATTGTTTAGAGTGTATATCACAGAATACAATAGACTATACACTCTAAAAAATGCTGGGTTGTTTTAACCCAACTTTGGGTCAAATATGGACTAACCCAGCTGTTGGGTTAAATTTTTGCATTACATTTTTAACCCAACATTTCGGGTTTGTCCATATTTGACCCAAAATTGGGTTAAAACAACCCAGCATTTTTTAGAGTGTACTGATAAGAGGCTGCATTAATTTAGAAGTGTCTGAGCGATCGGAGAGCCATGCTTTGGAGAGCCTACTTTGTCTCTTTTTTCCAAATTTATCCATATGAATTGAGCAGCATTTATTAATCTCAACATTTACTAATAGCCTACATTGTTAAAACCAAAGGTTATATGTTAACATTAGTTAATGCACTGTGAACTAACATGAGCTGTACTTTTTATTAACTAACGTTAACAAATATGAACTAATACAGTATCAAATGATTTGCTTCTGGTTAGTTAATGTTAGTTAATTAATTAATGCTACCATGTTCATTTGTGCTTTGAATATGGGTTTAATGAATAAATAGTTTATTTTTGTAGTAATATGCACAGCTTAGCCTACTAATTAAGAAGGTGCGGCTCTCTTCCAGTGCACACAGGTAACTTTACAAGAGGAAAATGGGGTAAATAATGTAACATTGGATAAAACGTGGAATCTCGTCGGTTTCTACTGCTGAAAAAAATCTTGCTCATACACTCTTAAAATGCTGGGTTGTTTTAACCCAACTTTGGGTCAAATATGGACAAACCCAGCCATTGGGTTAAATGTTTTAATTACATTTTTTAACCCAACGTTTGGGTTTGTCCATATTTGACCCAAAGTTGGGTTAAAACAACCCAGCATTTTTAGAGCGTACATATTGTAGTTGGCTAATTCA